AAAGAATAAAGTAATGGTACATAAATTTATATTAAAAAATTTTTTGTGCGTTATTGGGTCTTGGGAAAGACATTTCATAACCGAGCATGAGACCTGCGGTATGAAAGAGTTTAGGACGATATTCGGGAGGTTCCGACATAACACTAAAAAAATAATCATAATAATAAATTACTATTATTATATGGTGATAAAAAAAAAATTCTTTTTTGATATATATACCAGGAATTTCTAAACTTTTGGATAAGCGCGTTTTTGCCCTGGACATTGGCATATGATAATTCACAAATCTTGGCAGAGTTGAAACTCGACCTTTTAAAACTTTATTATTTGTTACAAGGACTGCGTGATGATTGTGTAAAAACTTGGGTAAATAAAGGAAATGCAAATACCATTTTTTCCCAACGCGTGTCTTAGCAAAAGAAAGTACGGCACTTTGAGGCAATATATAAAATATCAGTATTAAGAAAAGGCAATAAAATAACAATTCACATTTAAAGAAGTTTACCTGATATCTACAAAGTTAACAAAAGCGTATCCGACATTACACTTATTTTTAAAATCGATACGCAAGTAGACGAAATCGTATTGACCACAATGGGTTTCGTCGAGCCAATCCAACAGCATTTGCTAAATTTTACGCAAATAATGTAAGAAACAACGCAAAATTTCCATTGATAATGGAACGACAATATACCTGAGTATACTTGTTCGGAATATTCCTGATCTGAACGTGGTACGATCGTCAAGGCCTATGTTAAAATTAAGATAATTCAATAAACCTTATAAAACATAGTTTTAAACAGTTTGTTTATAACAGTAAAGTTACAGCTTTTAAAAAAAATCAATTCGCTTGTTCCTTCACACAAAAATTGCCAATTCTGATTGGTCGAATCATATATTGTCATATCCGAGAAATGGCCAATCGGGATGCGTAAATTTTGATCGTCCCGGATCAGCCCGACGTCAAAACAAAACACGTGCGAAAGAAGAAAAGAAGAGAAAAAAGCGAAAATACTCAAAAACTAGTGTCGGGAGCGTAATTTTACATATCGAAATGATC